CTAGCATGCCATCAATATAAACCTCCATTAATTTACCTATTTGTTTGAACATTTGGTTCACTAGGCGTTGATAAGTAGCACCATCATTTTTTAGCCCAAACGACATTATGTTATAGCAATAAGTACCATACTTAGTGATAAATGAGGACTTTTCTTGATCCTCCGGGTTCATTTGTATTTGGTTGTACCCGGAGTAGTCATCGAGAAAGTTGAGGATCTCGCGGCTAGCCATGGCATCGATCATGTGATCGATGTTCGGCAGTGGAAAAGAGTCTTCAGGGCATGCTTTATTTAAGTCCTTATAATCTACACACATTCTAAGTCCCCTTATTGGGGACTACAACTACGTTTGCTAGCCACTCGGGATATTTTACTTCCTAGATGGATCCTATTTTGAGAAGTTTGGTTACCTCATCCTTGATGAATGCATGCTTTATCTCGGACTGTGGTCTTCTCTTTTGCTTTACCGGTCTGAACTTCGGGTCCAAACTCAAGCAATAAGTGGTTATCTCTAGTGGGATCCCTATCATGTTAAGGTGAGACCAAACAAAACAATCCATATTTTTTATAAGGAATTTAACGAGTTTTTCCCTGAGCTCGGGAGTTAACCCCGTGCCCAAGTATACCTTTCGATCGGACTGGTGCTCGATCAGTATAACTTGTTCCATCTCTTCGAACGTTGACTTCGTGGCATCGGAATCATCGGGGATTATGAAGATTTAAGGTACCATACAATCATCATCCTTGATAATTTCCTGCTCTGGTCGAAGCCGGCGACTATGGTTGCTATTTGACCTTCTACTTTTCCTTTGATTCTGGTCCCTTTGTTGATGTTAGAGTCGATACTTGTATTACCTCATCGATTGCAAACATCTCTTTGGCTGCACGTTGTTCGCTATACACCGTTTTGACTCCCTCCGGTGTTGGGAACTTCAAGATTTGATGAAGCATTGAAGGTATCGCCCTTATATTATTGATCGAAGGTCTTCTGAGCAGTGCGTTGTATCTCATATCACATTCGATTACATGGAGCTTTGTTTCCTGGATAGTTCCATCCACGTTTACTGGGATTTCCCCTTTGGTGGTCTCATTTGCCATGTTGAAACCATTGAGCACTCGAGCTGCAGGAATAATTTGATCCTGAAGGCCAAGATGCTCCACGACCCTCGATCGAATAATATTTGTCGAGCTACCTGGATCCACCAACACACATTTAAACTTGAATTTTATTCATAAGGATAGATATTATCAGTGCGTGGTTGTTGGGCTGTTCTATCCCTTTCGCATCCTCATCGTTGAAAGATAAGGTATCTTCTGGTAAGTAGTCCTATGTACGCTTATCTCTTGTGATTGTGACTTTGGTGCATTTGAATGTCGGACCCCGAGTGATATTGACCCCACCGATGATCATATGAATCACGCGATGCGGTTCCTCCTGTTCATTTTTCCTGTTTGCATCCTTGTCTCTGAATTGATTTTTTGCTCGGTCATTTAAGAACTCTTGAAAATGACCTTCGTTAAATAGATGAGCTACCTCCTTCCTTAATTTTCTGCAGTCCTCGGTTATGTGACCATCAGTTCCATGGTACTTGCACATTTAATTCGGATTCTTTTGATCTGGATCGGTTTGCAGGGGTCTGGACCACCTAGTATCTTTGATTCGTCCAATGGTCGACACGATACCTAAAGCATCGATGCTGAAATTGTATTCTGATAACTGCGGTGCTTCCTTAGGCTCAATGTGTTTATCAAAGCCCTTCTTACTCATGAACCCTCGATCATTCATTCGATCATTTCAAATGGGATTATGTCCCCGCCCGCTGTTTCTTCGATTTGAGCTATATGGTTGGTATCGATCTCTGTTTGATCGGGGCTCTCTATCGATGTCTTTTTGAATCCTGCATTCGGACCTGTTTGGGTAAACAGAACCGGATGGGGCTCGCAACTGATCACCCTCGACTCTGATCTTTGACTGGTATCGATTATGCACATTGGCCAGGTCACCGCTGGATATTTAATCAAATTCTACTTTAGTTGACGTGATGCTATTGAGCTTCACTCATTCAAAGCCTGAGTAAAGGCTTGTACAGCCCAATCATCGGTAAGTGGGGATAGGTCCATCCACTCCATCTGAAATCGAGATACAAATTTCCTTAGCATTTCATTGTCCTTTTGTTTCACTTTGAAGAGGTCCAACTTCCTGATCGCGACCTTTATCGCTCCGACGTGTGACCTTAAGAATGAATCGGTGAGCATGGCGAAAGAATCGATGGAATTGGGTGGCAAATTGTAGTACCATATCATTTCCCCTTCAATAAAGTTTCTCCAAATTTTTTCAACAAAATGGATTCAATCTCATCATCTTCTAAGTCATTTCCCTTTATTTTGTGTGTATACGAAGTGATGTGTTCATTAGGATCAGTGGTCCCGTTGTACTTAGGTATGTCCGGCATACGGAACATCTTAGGAATGGGCTTCAGAGCCGCACTTCGAGGAAAAGGCTTCTGCATGAACTTTTTCGAATCCAAACCCTTTAGGATCGGGGGTGCCTCCGGTATTTGGTCAACCCGTGAGTTGTACATCTGTACCTTTTTGTCATTGGCCTCGATTTTCTTTTCACCTGATTATATCGTTTTAGTGAGTTATTCGAGCATCCTCGTGATGGTGGGGTCAGCTCCCGTTCCATTATCGTTCAATTTCTCCTGTACAGGCTCGACTCTATGAACAACTTCCTGTGACCTATCGAATTCGATTCTACATGGTGCCCGATTCTGGAGTTGCGCTATTGCAGCCTGCTGAGTTTGTAGCATGTCAAATATCATTCGAAGGCTAATTCCGCCTTCTTCACCATTTTGTGCGTTCTGATCGGCTGCACGGGCATCTCTGCGGACGCTATTTTCAGGGTTGGAGCCTAACTCCCCACAAACGGCGACACGAGAACTGACATCAACCGGATGCACGCTCTATGGTGCGTCGGGGTTGATTGGAGGCACTCTGTTTTCCAGGGTGACTACGTGTTCATTTTCACCATGAAGACCAGGGCCGGTGTCAGTGTGAGTGGGTACTACTTGAGAGTTTGACATGTTGAATCCTGAAATCAAAAATACTTACAAGAACAAGTGTAAAAGCAGTGTGTGTTATGAAGGTTAATACTAAGCAATCACTATTATACTTAGCCCCACGGTGGGCGCCAAACTGTTTACCTAAAATTCGAGAACAATTAAACTTGTAATGTGGTTTTAAGGATACGTGATTTCACTTAATACCAATTGATTAACTTAGAGATAAATGATGTGAATTGACAAGAATATAAAACAAACTGGTGCTTGGACAATGCCCTCGAGCTGATGAACCCTCGAGAGTAATAAAGTAAGAACAGTTAAAGAACAATAAGTTGATGAACAATAGAGAAATATTATATTGCCTTGATCTGTATGAATGTAAGGTGTTTTCAAATGATGGGGATCCCTCTTTATATACTAGAGGAATTCTAATTGTGGTACAATTCTAATTACGGAAGTAAATCCCATTATTGTTACAAACAACCGCCCTTGACTTGATCCGTTCCGAGATTTTTGCCGTGTTCTCCGACCGGTTATAGATATTTCTCCTTTCCATTATTGCGTTCCGCTCGAAGCTGATCATATTTGATCTCGGTCATCGGGAACCTCGATCTCGATGGGTACCTCGATCTCCAAACTCGGTATCTTGCCTTCGTGCTCAAGCCTGATCCATTACGAGGCTGACCTTCGATACAGTTCTCCGATCTCGAAATAATGGCAAAATCGGGCAAACCCGATTTTACCCGTATATAAAATGCCATACTTGATACTGATAGTAGAAAATAGGAACATATATATAGACAGCCCCCTGATAGTGATTTTCAGCAACAAAAAATAAAATAAAATAATTGGTCTTTGCATATTATTTTGATGATGGGACAGTCGGATGGTGGGTTAAGTTTTCAGTGATTTGGTTTCTTCATTTGTTTCTTTTTCCCTTTTTCGATCGGTTTGGCCCTTTAAATTTTCCTGCTCTTGTGTTTTTTTTCTTCCTTTTCTTTCCTTTTTTTCTTTCTTTTACCATGAATTAAGAAATACATTAAGAACTACAGTACTCAAACTCCTCTATTACATGTTCATTTGTTCCGGATTTTTTTTACTGTTATAATAAAGTGCTATTATAGTGAACATATATTATAACATAGCATAAAAATTAATATTCCATAAAAAGCTGGCTTTTATATAGAGATATTGTTATAGAGAGGTTTGACTGTATAAAATAAAACTACCATCAAATGTACTGTTGTATTGGTCAAAATCTGACCACAAGTGGGTTATCATTAAAAAAAATGGTAAGGGGTCGATCAAACGGTAGTTGTACCCACGAGGCGTAATAGCAACGAGTACCTCGGCCACTGTCGAGATCGAGCCGTCAGAAGGCCTGCACGACAGCACGTACGACGTAATACTTGGGAAGGCAAGGAAGAGTATAGTCATGAGAGGGTACGTTGGATAAAGACCATTGAATAAAGGGGAAGGTTGGTAATATATATANGGAGCAAGGCATCAAAGACAAGAACAAGAGGAGATCTCCAACAACGAACCAACAGTTCAGATTTTGGCTATAACCCTTCGTAATCATTATTGTTGAATCAACAAAGATAGATCTCATAGTTACCAACAACTTCCCTCTTTTCCTTCTTTACTCTTACAAGTACGGAACAATAAATTAAAGATGTAAGCTTATTATTTACATTTAATGTTTATCAATCATCTTAAGGAATGTTATATAAGTCTGGCCTACTTCGATTTTTATATTTAATATGTTTGGATCTAGAGTTAATTATGTTTGGCTAAGATTTACTCTCCATTTCTCTATTAATTAGTTTAACTAAAAGGTTCAACACTTTTTTGGTCAAACAACTGTAACAAACTATAATATATCAATACAATCTAAGAACAATAGTAATAATAATAATAATAATAATAATAGCAGCATCCATAATAATTATACAAGGCAACATAATTAAATGGAAATGGGAAGTAAAAATTAGGTGAATACAACCATGCACGCCAACGAGTTTCTTCAAATGAAGGATCTTTAGAATTTCCAATGCTTGTTGTATTATCAACCAGTCTTAGGATTAGGTGGCGGTGGTTTGCGCGGAGCTGTTGCTCTTTCTGCTATTGTATCATGGATCCCTTCTTCTTGCTCTTCTTCTTGGACCAGCTCTTGTCCTTGTGCATTTCCTTGTTCATCTATTATTGATATCGGTGGTGGTTCAAGTACCACCACCCGTCCTGGTTCATCTATCAGTGGTGGTTCAAGTACCACCACTCGTCTCGGTTCATCTATCGGTGATGGTTCAAGTACCACCGCCCGTCCTGGTTCATCTATCAGTGGTGGTTCAAGTACCACCACTCGTCTCGGTTCATCTATCGGTGATGGTTCAAGTACCACCGCCCGTCCTGGTTCATCTATTATTGACATCGGTCTTTGGCTTTGTGGATCTGATAAAATTGAAGAACAACAATAATTACGTCTTAATTTCAAACATATTAGGTCGCTATATAAATTCTCACTGACAAAATTAAAGACATCTACCAAAATAGCACAGTTTGTACAATGAAAATTAAGAAAAGAGTGAATTTTTCTGAACAAATTACCATTGCAACTCTTTCTTACCTTTAGAAGATTTTCCACATGAAACAGGGTATTCGGACATATCTTGAATCTTATTCCTCGTATCTGCGATGAAGTTAGCCATTTTTTCTTTTCTTGTATAAGCTGTATATATTGTTTGCCACGTATCAAAATGAACTTCATAGGAGCTTGAGAACCATGTGAGAAATTGTTAATTTCGAGATGTGACAACTAATTGTTGCTATTCACGTAATTGCATCTCTTTGTCAAATAAGAAGGTTGACTATTGATTTTCTTAAAGTTGGAGTATTGAAGGGGAATATTTAAGGTGCCTACCTAATCAATTCTTTTACCTTTTGTTACAATTCAATTGGATATAATTCATGTGAAGTTAGATATGTTGTCTACAAAAGGGATGCAATTTGGGACAATTAATTCGATTCTACGTACCCGCACTAGTAGCTTATTGTTGATACAAAGAAATATTGACAAATGTATAAAATAGGGAGAAATTATGCGATACAATAAATATATACATTATATTTACCATTCGTAACTATACTTTCAAAAAATTACCATTTGTAACTATATTTAAATTTTGTAGCAAAAAAATCCATCTGAAAGTACTAAAACAAGATATTGGTTGTTTTGAGCTGAAACAAAAGAGCAACTAGTTCTTGTAGCTCAATTGGTTAAACCACCAACTTAATAAGCGGAATTTTTGAGTTTGACTCTCAACAAAAGCATTTTATTTTATTTTTTTATATTTTGTCTTGGTTGTATTCATTGCGAGAAATTTAAAATACTTCACATATTCAGAATCAGTCGAGACGACAGAGATTAATATATAATGGAGCATGATCAGAACATGATATCGATATCTTTCCCATGTCTTTGTTGCTCATTAATTAGAGTTGTTTGATGAGAAATTGTGCACGTTATCATTATTAAGAGCTTGATATTATTTAGTTCATATAGTAGACAATGCTCAATCTCAAAATGAGTTGTAAAAATAATAAAACACTAACACATATATGTAACCACACACTGCATGTAGTATATATAAGATATGATGAATACCTTAGATTAAAATGCAATACATAAAGATGTTCATTTCTATTAGTTTCTTTTATAACTGTTATTGTATAACATTATTAGTACATCAAGAAGCAAAATAGGAGAAAAAGAGCAGTCCGAAGCTAGAAGACTCTATTAGTGGTTGATATTTATTATCAAAACTCCTAAAATTGCTACCTATAGTCATTAAATTTTACACCCAAATGGCATTAGCCCTAATGAGCAATTGTTTCAGCTTGCTTCTCACATTAAGGCTCATGATTTCATTAGAACCACCAATAAACTCATTCCCTATAAATACTGCTGGCACACTTGGCTGACACCCCAGTTCAATTAGTGCCTTCTCTATTTGCTTCCCATTTGGATGTCTATCGAGCTCGTAAACAGTAGGGTTTGCTCCAAAACTACGGATTAGGGTTTCGATGCTATGAGAAATGCAACAACTACTCTTGCTGAATATCACCACTGGACTTGCTGCTCCCAACTTCATCACCATATCCATATTGTTTATATGTTCAAGAAATAATGTGTTTAATTATTGGCAAAATGCCAAGATTTTATATAGCTTTTGGTTAAGAGGAAAGAAAGCTACAGGAAATAGTGAAGGATTGCTTGACTTGTTGTGAGAAACATGAACCTCACATGAAGCTATATATAGAGGCATTAGCAGCGCTATGTTAGTTTTATTTGAAAGGGTGAAAATTTCTAGAAGAATTACAAGTTGGTGAATATATCTAGATTTTTCTAGATCATTTGCATGATAAGGGCAAGTATGCCTTATCTACCTGGATTTTAAAGTAGCATAACCCACTCAAGCTGAATATGAAAAGAATATAATCATCACTTTGAAATATTATTCGCAGAACATATGTCACTAGCTAAAGTTCTTTGATTGTTACTCGATTTTTGGTTTTTTGTCCTGTTTCTTTCTTAGTTATTTTGAAAGGGAGCTTTGTCATAACTGGGCGTAACGTGTTCGAGTCGTGAAAACAGCCTCTTGCAGAAATGCAGGGTGAGACTCCATAAAGTAAACTTTTATGGTCCGATCCTTCCACGGACCCAACTCATAACAGGAGCTTAGTACATCAGACTGCCCTTTTTCTTAGTTATTTTATCTTGTTTGGTTAATGTACTAATATGTTTAAATAATCTATCCAGAATTCATTAAGTAAAACGATTGTAGTTTTAAAACTTATAGAGTTATAGCGACTTTTTTCTTTATTAATTAGTTTTGACATGAATAATTTTTTTTTCTTTTTGTAATTTCCCTCTTGAAAACAATGTATCTGCTTGTTCGAAAAGAAATATCCAACTGTAGTAATCTTTTTATGTACGACCAAAGATTTTGGAATCTTACTTTCGATATGAGAAAAATTGAAATTGTTATCAGAATATATACTCATAAATATGCTGTTGAAATCAAATCCACATTACTATCCGTACCGAAAAGGAGTAGGAGGAGGTACTTGGAATTTTCTAATAGTCTGGTTCAAATTCCTATTTTGGAATAAGGGAATGTAGTACTGATTTATCACCAATTGATCTAAATATTCCAACCAGAAAATAGTCCGTTACTACCTCGAAAGGTCGCATATCGTCATATTATTTTAGTTTCTCTCGTTAAGGTATTTGCTCTCTCGTCACACTTTATGATAAAATGAAAAGTTTAGAACTAAATTAATTTCAAATATAAATTTTGGTACGGTTTATTTTCATAAAGTTAAAAACATATCCTAACTATTTGGTATTGTTATAGATTTACATAAAAAGCTACAATTTTATTTAAAACCCTAATAATCAGTATGATTTGGGTTGCTTGGTCTAGTCGATTTCTAAATATGCATCGACACTCTTTTTTTAAAGAAAAAAAATCGACACCCCTAGTTATTGCCAAACACAAAATTTGAACTCCCATTACATTTTTAAAAAAAACTCCTATTACAAGTTAATTATTTTTTCTTTTTACAATTCATAATTGAATTTAAACAAACGTAATCTTCATTAGCTCATTGATACTCCAGAACGGTAACTATTTATTATTTAATTATGATTAAGTGATAAATCTGTATATGCAAAAAATATATTATATATTTATTAGTTTAATGTAAATATGCGATGCAAATAACTTTTTAGTCTTCGAAACTAAACACAACAAAGGTGAAGGATGCACAATAGAAAATACAAAGGTACAAAAAAATAAACACTGACTACGAGTAATTTGATTTTCAGGACTTAATTTATACTATTATTTCAACCAGTCTGAGGAGGAGGAGGCGGTGGTTTGCGTGGAGCTGTTAAAATATATGCTTTAACATCAGGCTTTACTATTACGCCTCAGTCTTAAACAAGTTGATGTCGACTATATAAATTTTTACATTTTTTTAAAGCTCAACTCATACCATTGAAACTATGACACAATGTTCCTAAATGAAAATAAATTAAAAACGCAAAAAATTTCTAAATTGAACAAGAAAATCCTGCTAATCTAATTTACGGGAAAAAGGTTTGAAGTAAAGGGTTAAAGCACCAAGTTTTGGTGTGAAATTCAGGCATAGATTCTTTAAAAAAAATTGATAAAATAAAATTTATATATTTAAAAGTTAATAAGAAAATACAACGTATAAGTTAACATGGTTAATAAATCAAAAGATTTAGAAAGGGTTTTAAAAAATCATAGTCAAAGAAAAAATTGTTTCACGCTGCAAATAGTAACATATTCGGATAGCTTGGAATTAATGGAGGGAATAGTTTCCAACTCTTATGCTAAAATCTGCTCTCACACTGAGCAGATTTGCAGTAGCTATGTACTGCCCAAATGGCAGAAGAAGCTTCTAGAGTACAAAAATGTAACGACTCGACCGGTCGTTTCGTGAATTATAGCCCCGCTTCCCCATTTCTGCTTCTTTATGTGCACTTCAGCTGTATTTTATCGTATCGTGTTGGTCGGTTCGGGATCGGAGTGGTTTCGGTATGATGAGACACTTAGTCTCCTATTTAGAAGTTTAAGTTGGAAAAGTCAAGCGGATGTTGACTGATCTGTAAACGATCTCGGATGTGATTTCTAATGATTCGGTTAGCTCCGTTAGGTGATTTTGGACTTAGGAGCGCGTCCGGAATGTGATTTGGAGGTCCGTGATATGTTTAGGCTTGAATTGACGAAATTGTAAATTTGGCATTTTCAGTCGGCAGTGAAAATTTTAATATCCGGGTGGGAATGGAATTCCGGAAGTTGAAGTAGGTTCGTAGTCTTATTTGTGATGCGTGTGTAAATTTTCGGATCATTCGGACGAGGTTTCGGCACCGTTTGCGGAATTCGGAAGTTTAGAGGTTCTTAGGGTTGAACCCGAGGGTGATTTGGCGTTTTGATGTTGTTTTGAGTGTTCCGATGGTTCGACTAAGTTTAAATGTTGATATGTGACTTGTTGGTATATTTGGTAGAGGTCCCGAGTGCCTCGAGTTGATTTCGGGTGGTTGACGGATCAAGGATGGGATTTGAGGAATGCTGAAGATTTTTTTCAGCTGTTATAATCGCACTTGCGGAGTGGAGACCGTAGGTGTGGGACCGCAGAAGAGAGGAAAGGGCCGCAGAAGTGGTCAAGGCTAAGAAGGGCAGGAACACATTTGCGGAAGGTGAAGCGCACCTGCGAGACCGCAAGTGCCGGGAATGGACCGCAGAAGCGGGAGCTAGGCGGATAAGTGAAAACCGCAGGTACGGCGCTTGGACCACAGGTGTGGTCGCACAAATGTGAGAATTTGAGTCGCAGGTGTTAGATGCCTGGGTAGAAGGTATATACTGAACCCTTAGCGAAATTTGAGTTATCTTCCACCATTTTTATTCGGACTTGGAGCTTTTTGGAGAGTTTTGAAGAGGGAATCATACGGGTTTTCATTGAGGTAAGTTTCTTGAGCTCAATACTCATGATTATGATAATTTTCAGTTGTTTAAGCATGCAATTAGTATAAATTAGGGATGAAATTGAGGTGTTAGAGCTTGGAAATTGGAGAGTTTGATTTGGGGATTTGAGGGACCATTTGATGTCAGATTTTGATGGATTTGGTATGTATAGACTCATGAGTGAAAGGAGTTTCTAGTTTTATGATTTTTGTCGGATTTCGAGACGTGGGCCCAGGGGCCGGGTTTGGGTGAATTTCAGGATTTTGGTCTAAATTGATAGTTTTTCGTTTAGAATTAATCCCTTGGCCTGTATTGATTACATTGTATTGCTTTTGGTTAGATTCGGGACGTTTAGAGGCCGATTCCAGAGGCAAGGGCGTCGCAGAGTAGGGATTTGACCGGTTTGAGGTAAGCAATGATTGTAAATCTAGTCCTTAGGGTATGAAACCCCGGATTGCCCATCGTTTTACTGTTTTGAGGTGACACACATGCTAGGTGACGGGCACATGGGCGTGCACCATTGGAGATTTGTGACTTGGTCCATCCCATAGCAACTATTTAGTTGCGTATTTGACTGAAATTATATGATACTTATGTGATTTAGAAAGAATTTCTATAAATTGGGTTGAATGTCATATTTGGGCCTTGTGCCGAAGTTGTTTGGACCCTTAGGGCCCTTTTCTTGTTACCCTCTCACTGTTTTGATTTAAGATCCATACTCACTCATGTTATGTTTACTGATTTCATAAACTCAGCCTTTATTACCCGTTTTGATGCATATAAAATATTATTTTGGGCTGAGCATCCTGTTTTTACTGATAGTCCAAGTGGCTTTAGAGGTTATGACTAAGTGAGGCCAAGGGCCTGTTTTATGAGGATATTATGGGCTCGGGCTGCGCGCCACAATATGTTGTTACTGATTCATGATTATGTGAGACCGAGGGCCTGATTGATTATGCCACGAGGTGACTTGTTATAGTGTTTGGGCTGTAGGAGCCCCTCCGGAGTCTGCACACCCTAGTGAGTGCAGGTACCCCGAGTGAGTGATATGATGTTTTGCCCGAGGGGCTGTTCACGAGTGATGTTTGCCCGAGGGGCTATTTATGTTTTCACCATTTTTACTCATTGTTTCATCATTTTGTTAAAAAACTGTTGAAAGAGATTTTTAAATGGTTTTATTGAAACTGTATTTTTAAACGAGATAATTTGACTCACATACTGATTTGAAAGCATGTTGTACTTACTGAAATTTCATGATGTGGACTTTATGTATTTCCTACTGTTCAGTCTTTATTTACTTTTATTACTTACAGAGTTGGAGTACTCACATTACTCCTTGCACCTTGTGTGCAGATCCAGGGTTGCTTGGCGTGCTAGCGAGCGTTGATTTCATCCGTCGCGGATCTGTCGAGTTAGAAAGGTAGTTGCATGGTGATCGCAATCCTGCTCTTCTCCCTCCTATCTTCATATAGATTGTTATTAGTTGTTTTCTAGAATGTATTAGTCTTAACATTTTCTGACAGTTTGTTTTTAGTAGATGCTCATGACTAGTGATACCCCGATATCAGGATTTTCTTTCTGCACTTTGTTCTTCAGATTTATCTTATGAAGTCTTATTAATTAAATAGCTTGGAGAAGTCTTTATTTTGAAATATCGGGTTGTTTTGGCAAAAGAGTCGGCTTGCCTAGTACTACGATAGGCCCCATCATGACTGGGCAGTTTGGGTCCTCACAAGAAATGAAGAAGAAG